ATGTTTATAACACTCCTGATCATACCTTAATCCTTTCTCTAACTGAGAAAGGTCTTATAAAATTGCCATTTATCAACCCAATAGAGCTGAAACCCAGAATTCAACAATGCATTGTTTTCAGAAGTGGCTCCCCTGGTTGGTATGACACCACAAAGGCATGAAATTTCAAACACCCAACGCTTTGGATTAAAAGCACAATAATTCCATGAAGTTTTGTTCTGAATTGAGAATGATTCTGTAAGGACTCACACTTCTTCAGATTAATCAGAGTAACATTATGTTAGGTATTTCATAAATTGATCCTTCTTTTAAAAAAATTCTCATGAGAAAGGGGGAAGTTTAAGGTTTTGTGGATCTCTTCTTGAAATTTTTATCATTAAAATTTAGTTTTAATATCTTAAACATTAAAAAGATTTAAAGAAAACTTTACGGAGAAACTCTATAGTGAAAGGAGTTTCAGGGAATAGAAATGCTCTCCTTAGCCCATTAGACATTAAGCACATTCAGATTTCAAGCACAGTTCTGGTCATGGAAGTGGAAAATGGAGATGTGGTAGGATTTGCCACACCTTCTCTGACTCTCAAATGTCAGTTCTTTCCTCCTGGCACTCATACATGGATGAGAATGGCTGTAGCTCCCAGGAGGCTGGCCAGTCACTGGCTCCTGGGCACTCTCTGTTGGACAGTTTAATAAGACACATCAGAACAAATCTAACCTCAGAGGGAAAGGTGCCAAGTCCACATTCTGGACGTGGTCTGGGCTCAAACCAAAGAGAACTGAGTGTAAATAACCTTTGTGACATTGCTTCCCATTTGTCCCTGTTTCATCTCTATATATTTCGCAAAGTATTGAAACAGATCCTGGTGGGGGTGGAGAGGGTTATAAGCTAAAAATTATAAAATAAGAACTGAAAAGTAGAATGAAAAGCCACACAAATAAGCTAACCATAACATGGATGCTCTAACAGTCATGTTGGATCTGGGGAAAAATAAAACACAATCAGGAATATTGTTCTTTTCATTCATGCTTTTTGCCCAACTGAGGTTCTTGCAACTTCAGAAAACGAAGAAAAGTGTAAAGCTAATTTCAAAATATTTTGTAATCTCATGACAAAGAGATTTACAACTTAATATTTCAGTGTGTTTCCTCCTAGCTTTTCTCTCTCTCTCTGTCTCACTGTAAATAGATTATATCATGAACATTCTCCTGTCATTACTTTATGCAAACACTATTTCTTCTGCTCTTATATGAAAATATGATTTTTCTACCCCACCCTGCTTATTGTTGGACATTTTGTTTGTTTCTAATATTTTGCTATTATAAATAAATTAATGATAAATAGTTTGTTTAAAACATTCTTAGGTGATTCTTATAATTTTCTGAGAATATATTCTTACAAGTGGAATTATTAGGCCCAATGGCAGAAACTTCTCTATTGTTCTTGATAACTATTGACAAATCTCTGGAAAGTCAGTACCTTTCTACTGTAACAAATAATTCATAAAAGTAATTTTTCAACATTCTTTTCAAAATGAAGTATTATTATTTTGAAAACTTTCACAGGTGGAAATAGTATTTCATTATTTGATTTTCTCTTAATTCTAATAATGTGGAATATACATTTGATTTCCTCTTTGGAGGATACCCGATGTACATGTTTGCCAATTTATGTTTAGAGTTTCATGTGTTAATTTTTTAATATTTTATTGATTTGTTTTTCTGTTTTAACACAGGCTTTTTACATTTAAAAACATTTATTTATTTATTTTGAGATGGAGCCTTGCTCTGTCGCCCAGGCTGGAGTGCGGTGGCGCAATCTTGGCTCACTGCAATCTCCACCTCTCAGGTTCAAGCAATTCTCCTGCCTCAGCCTCCTGAGTAGCTGGGATTACAAGCACCCGCCACTATGCCCAGCTAAATTTTGTATTTTTAGTAGAGACAGGGTTTCACCATGTTGGTCAGGCTGGTCTCAAACTCCTGACCTCAGGTGATCCACCTGGCTCAGCCTCCCAAAGTGCTGGGATTACAAATGTGAGACACCATACTCAGCCTATTTTTATTATATTCTTGTGTTTTAATCTATTACATTTTTACCTGTCTTAGTTGCCATTTTATTTTATCTATTTCCTAACTATTTACAGTACAAAAGTAATTGAATATTATATACATACTTTGTAATCCACCACTTGATTTAACACTAATTCATTCCGTTTTTTTTCAGTTCACTACTATTATTGTCTACTAGAGATTTTGGAAAATGAAATATCAAGTATTCTGAAAATTATGAATATTTAGTTTATCCCTTGCAAATTTGTTGATTCTGTTTCATATGTAAGCATTTTTCTCCCATCTCCCACCACTTTTAATGAGCTTGATATTTATAATTGGTTTAAGATACAGACTTTTGTTCATATTAAGAAAGAATGTTCCTTCTCCTGCTTCACTGTAATTTACTTTTTGAATACTAGATATTAAATTTTATCGCAACTATTGACATAATCATGTGGCCTTCCTTCATTTTGACTTACTGACAGTACTTTAATAAATGTGAATTATTTTATTCAAGAACATACTTTTCTATGTCAAAATAGGTTTGCTTTTGTTTTTCTTTTTATCATACCTACTTTATTTATGAGTGTTTTTTGTTGTTGTTGTATTTTTTTTTTTTTTTTTTTTGAGGCGGAGTTTCACTCTTGTTGCCCAGGCTGTATTGCAATGGCTTGATCTTGGCTCACTGCAATTTCTACCTCCTGAGTTCAAGCAATTCTCCTGCCTCAGCCTCCTGAGTAGCTGGGATTACAGGCATACACCACCATGTCCATCTAATTTTACATTTTTAGTAGAGATGGGTTTCTCCATGTTGGTCAGGCTGGTCTCGAACTCCTGACCTCAGGCGTTTCTACCGCCTTGGCCTTCCAAAGTGCTGGGATTACAGGCGTGAGCCACTGCTCCCAGCTGTATGAATGTTTTATTTTAACTTTTTGTATCCACATTCTTAATAAGGCTATTTCACAGTATTGTTGAATGCATTATATAAAAGATTTTCTTATCGGTCTTATATTAGCTTGGTAAATGAAGACGTTAAATATTTTTCTCTATTATCAAAATTTTTACATTTTATATTACTTTCATTAAATTAAACAAAAGCAAACCTATTTCATTAAAAAAAACTCATCAATGAAACTGTTAACTTTTTATCTGATAAAATAATTCCATAATGATTCTTTGAAAATGTTTATCATATTATTTCTGTAGCTCAAAATTTCCATTTTTTTCCCCCGTTTCAACTTTTATTTTAGGTTCAAGGGGTACATATTCCGGTTTGTTACACAGGTAAGTTCCATGTCATATAGGTTTGGTGTACAGATTATTTCATCACCCAAGTAATCAACATAAAAAAACTAATCAGCAGGCAGTTTTTCAAGCCTCGCCCTCTCCCTACCCTCCACCTTCAAATAGGCCCCAGTGTTTATTGTTTTCTTCTTTGTGTCCATGTGTAGTAAATATTTAGCTTCTACTTCCAAGTGAGAACATGCAGTGTTTGGTTTTCTGTTCCTGCATTAATTAGTTTAAGATAATGGCCCCCAACTCCATCCATTTTGCTGCAAAAGCAAGGATCTCATTTTTTATAGCTGTGTAGTAGTCCATGGTATATATGGATCACATTTTCTTTGTCCACTGTGCTGTTAATAAGCATCTAGGCTGATTTTGTCTTTGCTATTATCCAAATTGCTCTGATGAACACACAGGTGCATGTGTCTTTATGGTAGAATGATCTATATTCCTTTGGGTATACATCCAGTAATGGAATTGCCGGGTCAAATGGTAATTCTACTTCAAGTTCTTTGAGAAATCTCCAGACTACTTTCCACAGTGGCTGTGTCCATGTTTTTCTTGAATCGACTTTTGTAATTTGTAAATTCCCTAGGATTTATCTTTTTATTGTGTTTTACAAAGCAGCAGGAAGTTTCACATAACATTCTCATTCACAGTATGTGCATTAATGCTATGATATATATTAAATATACACATGTATATCATATCCTTTGTTATTCATTTATTTTAAATATGATGTGTTTTCCTTTATTTTCTTGTTAAAATTGCTCTTAATTTTATCTGTGTTGGAGGATTTACTTATTACGCCTACTGATTATTTTTCCTGTATTAAATTCAATTATTTCTGTTGCTATCTTTACTATTATCATTACTATTTTATTCTTCTGCCTTCCTTGGGTTAATTTCACTTTTCTAATTATTTGACATGAATAATTATCTGTTCTTAAAAACTAAATGATATTAGGCTATCATTTGTTTCTAATGAGAACTTTGGCTATATTCTACAAGTTTTTGGAAATACTTTTCATTGCCATCACTTTATAAATAAACTGTGACTATAATTTTATCTTTTTTCTTTTAGATACTCATTCAAGAATGGTTTAGCATGCTCTTGTGAACCATCTTCCTCTAAACACATATACACTGCTCACACACCTATGCCACTTTTCAATCTTTGTTACTATGGTCTAAAATTTTAAAATAGGCCGGGCGCTGTGGCTCAAGCCTTTAATCCCAGGACTTTGGGAGGCCGAGGCAGGTGGATCACGAGGTCAAGAGATCGAGACCATCCTGGTCAAACTGGTGAAACCTCGTCTCTATAAAGATACAAAAAATTAGCTGGGCATGGTGGCACGTGCCTGTAATCCCAGCTACTCAGGAGGCTGAGGCAGGAGAATTGCCTGAACCCAGGAGGCGGAGGTTGCGGTGAGCCGAGATCACGCCATTGCACTCCAGCCTGGGTAACAAGAGCGAAACTCTGTCTCAAAAAAAAAAAAAATAATAATAATAATAATAAAATTTTAAAATATTTTTCAAGGAATATTTCAATAATAATTGTTAACGTCTATCTTCAATTTTATAACCAAATTTATCACAAATGACAATATTAAACTCTGTTTTACCACCAAAGAGTTCAACACAAACAATAGTGGATTTACTTTTTAAAGCTAGATGCCATCACATTTTATAAATTAATCTTGATATAAATTTTATCTCAGTGCTATTTGATACTATGAGCTAAACCATCAGTTTTGACAGCATTAAATTAATGTGTCCAGGAAACAGCTTGAAGTGCTATCCTCTAGAAATTCTCTTTATAAGCAACGAAGGCTAATAGATTGGCATGGTGTTTGCAAATACAAGTTTACCATCGTCCACACTGTTTCTCCATCAAGTTAACACCTACTTTTCCTTCAAAACTTAGCAAGACAATAGATGCCACTGAAGTTTCTCCTCCATAAAGTCATCCTGAATGTCCAGTTTTCTTTAAATAGCTTCCCTTCAGGACTTCCAAGACCATCCTGTACACATCATTATTCCACTGCATGTGCTATCGATTTTATATTATAGAACTTCTCCTTTCCTAACTATTTTGAGGGTCATGCCTAGCCTAATGCCGGAAAATTTGTAAATGGTTAATGCAGGTTTTGTTAAATGAGTGGAACTAATCAAAGGGGGACTCGCTCAATCGATCAATCATCTTGAATGGTCTGTGACTTCTATCTATTCATCCCTCTGCTTTGATTGGCTCTTCAGTCCTACAGCAGCAAAGAGGAAAAGTTGGGATGAGCTTCCCCTGTGAAATGTAAATGAGACCTTATGAAGTCAGGATGAGATCCCTTTATGAAGTTAGAGAAGAAAGTTGGGTTCCAAGGGATGGACCCATACTATACAGCAGATGATTCACTCTTTCACCACAGGGAAAATGGGCATAAGAACGTTGTGGCTTTCTGGGAGCTTTGTCACTTGGCCCTCTCTGCTACTGGTTTGCTCTTCCCCATTATTTCCCACAGTGGCAGTTTTCAGCAATATACTCACATAGGAAGAGCCAACTCATCTTCAAGACTGGGCTCATGTTCCAGCTCCTCCTTATAACCTGCCCTGGCTGCAGAGGGAGGTAGTGAGTCCCTCCTTCTCTGAACTTCTTTGTACATGATGCTTGTAGTAGCCATTTGGCTTCTAACACTCACTGCTTTCTGCTATTTTTTTTTTTTGTCATTAACAGGGTTGGAGATTGTTGAGGATGAATGGAAAACTACATTTGCATCTCCTGAAGTTTCTAGCAAAATACCTTGCATGTTTCATGTACTGAATAAGCATGTTAATGCATGCATGTTTATGCAGTCATATGAGTGTGTGTGTAAAATTATATACTGCACAAATACCCAATTCAAAACCCTTTTTCCAAAACAAAATCAGAAAAAGGGGAACATGAGATATTTGCGTAGGGAGGGCAAAGTGATCCCACCTCAAACATTTCTCAGAATACCTTCCACCTCATTTTTTTCCACTTTGCCCTAATATCCAGAAAGAACATTCTGAAAACTTTGCCCCTCCTTGTTCAGAAAAGATAAATATAGTTATTATTTATTATTCCTGTGTTTCTTCACATTAAGATGAAAATAATTCTGGTTCCTCAAGAAATCTTAAAACATTGTCCACCAGGTTTATTTTGAAATCATCATAAATAATCAAGAAATATCCTCAGAGGTGAGCATGAATCCATGCCGACATACACAATCTCCAGGTATGTATACACGTATACATGCAGATCTGTGCTTGGAACCAAGAGATAAACACATAAAACCAAGCACGCACAGGTGCCCGCACACAGAGATACACATTCTCCTCACTGGTTTGGGAGGACCCTCGCTGAGAGGGTGAGGATGGAACTTGGGGACTCTTGGAGCACAGTCAGTATCCAATAGCAGCTGTCATCAAGCACTGGTCCAGGCAGGCAGAAGGACCATGTGGTTGAATTTCAGGGCAATTAATAATGTAAAAGGGAACCCTGGGTGCCACTGGGCACTTAGCAGCATGTGTAAAATTCTCCCAGCAGATATCCAAGTGGGCATGAGGCCAACCATCTTCCCACCCCTGCCTTTTTTGGCAAGTGGGGCTCAATCTGCTCTGGGGAACAGGAATGTAGGAGTGGTGGTGGCAAGGAAGACTCACATTAGGTGGCCAACACATTTTGCTCTCCATGCAGTAGTATCAGTTACATGCTGTTCCACCTCCTGAAACTGTCAGCTCTCCTTAACAGCCTGGTGGGATAGTTTCCTCCCTACTCAGTCTGACTGTCTGCATAAGCAGTTGTGAGGCAGCAGTAGCTCCCTGACTTTTCCCCTCCTGGGGAAGTCAGCTTGGTCTTCTAGCGAAGGCATTTCCTCCTCATCTTCAACCATATTCTATCGTTTCTGCCTCTCAGTTATTGGTTGGGTTGCATTGTCATGACTACTCACCAATGTCAGCTAACAGCAACATTTGGAAGTAAAGGATTTAACCTCCTCGTAATGTTCTTTCTCATCTTAACTCAGTAATACCTTTAATAAGAGTTAATAAATATATCACTGACAGTAGAGTGTTAGGTCTTATGATAACAGGATAGGAGAAAAATTGTTTAAAGAGGTCCTTCAGGAACCATTTGATTATGTATAGGGTGGACTATAATTCTTTTATTTATTCTTCCAGCACTGCCTCCTTAGCACTGCCTTGGTCCTGTTTTTCCCTTGAAAGATGCACCATTGGTTATGAGGTTGCTTCAACATCGGTGCTTATACAGGTGAATCAATGACAAAGATATTGTCTTCCTGTTCTTCTTTGGAAAGGATGTTCCAAGGGAAGCAAGAGAAAGTCAAGATCCTTAGCTTAGCAAGAATGGTCTTTAGTATTAGCTCCTGTCTACCTCTTAAGCTTCAATCTCAATCACTTATATTATACTTCAGCTATGCCAAGCTCCTTGCAAGTCACTGAAAGTGCCAGTCTCTGTCATACCTCTGTGGGTTTTTACCTGCCATTTCTATCACCCAGTGTGGCCTTTGTTGAGTCTCCCATAGCACCTTGTGCATTAATTTTTCATAGCACTTGGCTATAGGAACACAAGGAGGAAAACCAGCTGGCTGGCTAATGTTTTAAGACTGCTCTGTGAGCAAGACAAGGAGTTCACTATGAATTGAGTGCAGGGGGAAAAAACTGCTTATAGAAACAGAGAAGGAAGTGGGAAGTGGCAGGAAATAGGTGGGCTAACACTTACCTTGTTGTTTGCTCTCTCCGTTAGGATTATATTGACTGTAAGTGGGAAAACAAATTGCAGTGGCTTATATAAGGTAGTTTACTTCTCTCTCAAATGCAAACCAGCCCATGCAGGAAGTCCAGGGCTAATATGGTGGTTCTGTTCCAACAAAGCTCCTGGCTCCTTTCAGTTCGTAATGCCACCCTTGCCTTTATGTGTTAGGGTCCAAGATGACAGCATCCTCATTCCGGGACTGCATCCTTCATATGGACTTTTACCTGGTCTCCCTGAATTTTATAAACCACCAAGGTCATCAGTTCCGCCTTGTTTCACATATTCTCACCAACACTATCATCACATCATTCCAGGCAACCATCATGTCTGACTTGACCCTTGTCACTGCTCTAATCTTTTCTTCGAGGACTGGTGCAATTTTACAGGAGAAACAAAAAGTATAATGTGATGGTTGCTTTATTAGAAGTAAGGAAAAATTACAAAAATAATGTAGAAGAAGGGAAAATTACTCTTAGCTCTGACGGTCATAGGCTGTTAAGAAATACTTTGAGGAAAAATATTTTTTCTTTTTTTGAGATGGAGTGTCACTCTGTTGCCCAGGCTGGAATACAGTGATGAGATCTGGGTTCACTGCAACCTCTGCCTCCTGATTTCAAGCAATTCTCCTGCCTCAGCCTCCCAAATAGCTGGGATTACAGGCACCCACCACCACATCTGGTTAATTTTTGTATTTTTTAGTAGAGAAGGGGTTTTGCCATGTTGACCAGACTGGTCTCGAACTCCTGACCTCAAGTGATCCACCCACCTCGGCCTGCCAGATTGTTGGAATTACAGGTGTGAGCCACTGCACCAGGCCTAAAATACCTTTAAGTATAAATATGGACTAGCAAGGGGCACTAAGCAAAAGAAACTGTGTAAGCAAAAGTAGCAAAAATATGATATGTTTCAAAATAAAAGTTGTCTAAAATGAGTAGTATATGCTATAGGCTGTATATAAGTTTGCTAGAACTGCCATAACAAAATACCATAGACTGTGTGGTTTAAACAATGGAAATTTATTTTCCTGTGAATCTGGAAGCTGGAAGTCCAAGATCAAGGTTTCGTCAGGGTGGGTTTCTTGTACAGCCTATCTCCTTGGCTTGTAGATGGCTGTCTTCTCCCTGTAGCTTCACATGATCTTTCTTCTCTCTGTATGTGTCTATGTGTCCATGTCTCTTCTTCCTATAAGGACACCAGTCATATTAGCTTAGGACCATACTGGTATCCTTGTTTTAACTTAATTACCTCTTCAAAGATCCTGTCTCCAAATATAGTCAATTCTGAAGTATTGGAGGTTAGGATTTCAACGTATATATTTTGGGAAGACACAGTTCAGTCCAAAATTGTGCATTATAATTCAGGATCTTGGAAGAAATAGGCTAGAAAGGTTGGTACGAATCAGACTGTAAAGAACTTTGATGGTTGGACTAAGGAGTCTGGACTTTCTCCTAAACTAATGGGCAACAGAAGAAGGGTTTTCAGCAAGAGTGTGCTTTGGTCAGATGTATGCCTACGAGGACTGTGTGAGGTCTGTAGCCAGGACCAAGTGGAGCCTGGAGGTATTGCAGTGAGACAAGAGAAAGACAACGAAGGTCAGAGATGACAAATTTGAGAGACGCTTTGTTCACGGAACTGAGAGGATGTGGATAGGAAACCTGGAGACTATCAGGTTTCTGGCCTAGTTGGCTGAGGAAAGTGTCAGAAACTAAAATCAGGAACACATGTTGAATTTGAGGTATTGAATAGTATAGAATATGTAAGTGAAACATTCAGGAAGCATGCATCTAAAATCCAGGAGCTGGGCATGCCTGGAATCCCAGCACTTTGGGAGGCTAAGGGGGGTGGATCACCTAAGGTCAGGAGTTTGAGATCAGCCTGGCCAACATAGTGAAACCCTGACTCTACTTAAAATACAAAAACTAGCTAGGCATGACGGTGTGTGCTTTTAATCCCAGCTACTCGGGAGGCTGAGGGAGAGAATCACTTGAACACAGGAAGCAGAGGTTGCAGTGAGCCGAGATAGTGCCACTGCCTTCCAGCCTGGGCAACAGAGGCAAAAAAAAAAAAAAATTCCAGGAGAGAAAACTAAGTTGAAAATACAGCACACAAATGATAGTTGAGGTCAGAGTTGAGACCAGCCTGGGAGCATAGGCCAAGAAAAGAAAAGATGTTCAAAAGAGGAACCAGAGAGAAGTGCAGCACTTAGGGGATGGGCGGAAGGGAAGGCAAGTCAGAGACAGAGGAGGAAAAACAGAAGAGAGCCATGCGGCAGCAGTAACACAAGACAGTTTCACAACAGAGGAAGGCACACAGTCAATCCAAAAAACAGAGTAAGAATTGAAGAGAGACTGTTGAAGTTGGCCTCCAACAGAGAAGTTTTGGTGGAAGAAGAGCGACAGGCACTTGATTGCAGCAGGTCTGGGAGTGAGGGGAAGCACTGTGGTGGGAAGATGAAATGTAGACCATTTCTGGAATCCTGGCTGTAAAAAGAGGAAGGAGCGAGGAGGTGTTGAAGGGAGGTTTGGTTACTGTCCTGGTCTGGGTTCCATACCCACAGAGTAAGGAATTGCCAGATGAAAATCTCGATTCTGCACCTTGTACCAGAATGACAAGCTATGCAGAACATCTCACTGTTTGCTCCACAGCTCTGCTTTGTGCCCCCACAGTGGAGTGTTCCTACTTCAGTCTCAGGAACTATACACATGGTTCTTTCTTTTTTCTTATTTTTTTGAGACAGAGTTTCATTCTTGTTGCCCAGGCTAGAGTGCAATCTCAGCTCACTGTAACCTCTGCCTCTTGGGTTCAAGTGATTCTCCTGCCTTGGCCTCCCAAGTAGCTAGAATTACAAGCATGTGCTCTCACGGCCAGCTAATTTTTTGTATTTAGTAGAGATAGGGTTTCACCATGTTGGTCAGGCTGGTCTCAAACTCCTGATTTCAGGTGATGCACCCACCTTGGCCTCTCAAAGTGCTAGGATTACAGGCATGAGCCACCTTGTCCAGCCTGGATCGATACACATGGGTCTCGTTCACAACCTCGTCCTTCAGTTGTGAAGGCAAACCCCTCAAGGGCAGGAATCATATCTCATTCATCTTTATATTCCCTGCATTGTATGTTTAAAAGTATAGAGAGAAGGAAAGAATAAAGGGAGGGAGGAATAAAAGAGTTATGACTGAGCATTTATCCTGGGCAAAGTGCTATGCTAAGTATTTTTCTTAATCTAATCTTTATACCAAACCTGTAATATAGAAACTACTATTATCTCCGTTTCACAGCTGAAGAAACTGAGGCCCTGATATAATAAAGTGACCTGCCCAAGGCCATGTAGTTAGTAAACAGCTGAATGTGCATCTGAACTCAAGCATTCAGAATCAAAAGTCCATACTCTTAGCTGTGTAAAAATTAACTACAGTACTATGATAATTTTGTGTGTTAATTTGATTGGGCCTAAAGGTGCCCAGTTGGGCATTGGGTCAAACACTATTCTGGATGTGTCTGTGCAGATGTTTTTGGATGAGGCTAACACTTGATTCCATAGAATAAGTAAGGCAGATAGTTCTCCCTAAAGCAGATGGATCTCATTGAATCAGTTGAAGAACTGGATCGAATGAAAGGCTGACTCTCTCATGAGTAAGATGCAACTCCCCCTGCATGAGCTTTGAGCTGGAACATTAGTCTTCCCTGACCTTCAGGCTCAAACTGAAATATTGACTTTTCTGGGGTCTTGAGCCCATGACTTTTAGACTGAAGTTTATACCATTAGCTATCCTGGATGTCAGGGCTTTGGACTAAGACTGGACTGCACATTGTCTCTTCTGGGTCTCTAGCTTACCAACTGCAGATCTTGGGACCTGTCAGCCTGCATAATCATGTGATTTTGTGTAATGAATCCCTTTCTCTCTACACATCCTGTTTTCTAGGGAACCCTTACTAGTGCAAGTATTTTGAAAATCTGACCTATATGATAGGATATACTGGAAGTAGTTTGAGATCTTTATTTCCTAAAAGAAAAAAGAGCAAAAGCCAAGAAGTTACATTTGATCTGCTGAACTGCATTTTAATTGCCTTACATGGTGCAAAACAGAACATATGATCATCCCATCACTCCTGTGGTGTTATGTTATGTTCAGCTGTCAGGTTTGTTGGTTTCCTAAGACAACCAGTCACAGACCATCACCTAAAATATTTCTCACTGTCAAGTTCTAGAGCATAAAATTAGTCTTTATTGCTTTGACTATTAGTGATTTAGAAGGCCAAGGAATGATTACATAGAAAAGGCAACAGAGCCTGGACCAGAAGGGCTCCCAGATGAAATGCACTTTGGCCAATGGCTTTCATTCCAACACTGACACGAAGGCGCTGTCAGGGCTCGGGGTTATGAAGGCCAGGCAGGTCATGTGGCTGCTTTTTATCCTCAGCACTACTTACTGAGAGAGGGACAATGTCATTGACTTTGGGCCCATGGACAAAGCATACAAGGGAAGTCTTGGAACTGCCTGACTTGTTCAGGGCCTCTGGTGCTGAAATCCTGTGAATCTCCAGGGTGGAAGTCAAGATGCTTTCTGAGAAGCCTCCAAACTCTCTCCATGAATAAGAAAATAAAGTCAAGCTAGTGGCTTCTCCATCAAATGGTAACTGGTTTTATCATTTTTTTAATTTCTTTTTTTTTAATCAACTTTTAAGTTCTGGGGTACATGAGCAGGATGTGCAGGTTTGTTACATAGGTAACTGTGTGCCATGATGGTTTGCTGCACAGATAAACCCATCACCTAGGTATTAAACCCAGCATCTATTAGCTATTCTTCCTGATGCTCTCCCTCCCACCACTCCTTCGACTGGCCCAGTGTGTGTTGTTCCTCTGCATGTGTCCATGTGTTCTCATCATTTAGCTCCCACTTATAAGTGAGAACATGTGGTGTTTTGTTTTCTGTTCCTGTGTTCAACCCTAGTGGAAGACAGTGTGGCAAACCTTCAAAGATCTAGAAGCAGAAATACCATTTGACCCAGCAATCCCATTAGTGGGTATATATGCAAGGGAATATAAAGGTGCTGGTTTTACGATAAGGAGAGCTACGAGCTTCATTGATAAAATCCAACTTGGATCAGTCACAGTTTAAGATGTGAAACGAGCAGACCATGCCTCCATTTCTCTTCTTTAAAGGTCATTTTCCCTCTGGTAAACTTTTTCTAATGATTACTGTCTCCACTACCCAGACCTTAGAGGAGTTCCTGTATCTATTGTGGTTTCAGTGGGTGTGGTGGGAAATCTCAACATGATGGTATGTTTTGGAGGATGAGAGTCGAGAATGCAAAGTTGGATTGCCTCTTCACCCAGTGCATGTTTTCTTTAATAAAGCCACCTTTTATTGAGGGCTATTTTTGCCAAGCATCCAGTCTAATACTTCAGATGTGATATTTAATTGAAGCCCCGCAATATCTCTTTGACTTTGCTCCTATTACAACTCTCCACTTTTCAAATAAGGAAACTAAATCTTAGAAAGTTTGACTTCTATTATGGATTGAATTATGTCTCCTCAAAAGATGTGTTCAAGTTCTAGCCCCTGGTACCTGTGAATGTGGCCTTATTTGGAAATAGAATCAAATTCAGATGTAATCAAATTCAGATGAAGTTGTTAGGGTGGGCCCTGATGCAGTGTGACTGGTGTCCTGACAGAGGGGCTCAATTTGGACATGAGAGACAGACATACACAAAGGGAAAATAATGTAGAGACACACAAGAAGCAGACAACTAGGTTAAGGTGGAGGCAGGGCAGACATTGGTGTGGTGCCTCTCCAAGTCAAAGAAAACCAAGAACTGTGGTCACGCACCAGAAGACAGAGGAAGCAAGGAAAATTCCTCCCTTATATCTTTCAGAGAGAGCATGGATATGCCAATGCCTTGACTTCAGCCTTCTAGACTCTAGATCTGCAAGACAATAAAATTCTATTGTTTTAAGCCATCGTAATTTCTGGTACTTTATTATGTGAACTCTAGGAACCTAATAAAACTACCTTGCTCCAAATCACAGAATGAGTAATCTTGCTAATCAAGATTTGAATCCAGTCTATCTGACCCTCAAATCTATATTCATATTTCTTATTGTCTATGCTTTACTACCAAGTAACTAAGGCAGCATCTAGTAGAAACGATCAATTCTACCTAGTAAAGCTTTTACAGAGAA